GTACCCCCAACCCCGTGTCATTTTAATATACCTTTCCCTCCACCAGCAATCACGACTCCTTCAGGAGCTGGGGTAAGGAACAGTTTCTAGTGCTCACATAAATAAGTAATCTAGTCTTCACATGGCTCTTTGTCCAAAGCTCCAGGAAAACAGTTTGTGATGGAAATTTGGGTACAAGCCATTGCTGAGAATTACAAATGGTGGGATTTTTATTATTTATTAATCAACCTATAAATAACCTCAAAAAAAGAATCCAAGTGACTCCGCCTGAGACGGATGAAACTGGGGGTCATTTGATTTCTTCAGTGAAACCCACCCCAGATCAGGAGGCTGGAATAGTTGCAGGTGAAACCTGGGAGAGGGGCCTGCTGGACATTCTGGGGGCCAAGGGCTCTGTGGGAGCTGGTGTGAGCGGAAGCTAGGATTTCTGTAAGGAATTATTTACAGAGGGTATTGGGCCCGTGAGTTTTTCTTTGCTTCTTTTGATAGAAAGGACACACACACGGGTGACTTTCACCCTTCTGTTTTTTCTGATGGTGGGATGCCATTTTCACAGGAGTAGAGCAAGTGGGAGGCTGGTTTCTCATCTCACTCATGCCAGAAGCCCCCCCACAGGGCTTCTAGCACTGGAAATCTGAGTCTTTACCATCCTCCTCTGCCCCATGGCTTTTTAAAGGAGCAGCTTGGGAGCAGAGTCAGCTGGCCCTGGGTGTGTGCCAGGCTCCTCTCCCTGGAACCCGAGGGCCTCTGGGTGGGCACATCTGGCCCCACAGGGCAGGGAGCAGAAAAGCTTTTGTTGCTTCTGCTCTATTTTATTTTCCAGCTTTATTGCAATATAATTGGCATGGAACATTATGTAAGTTTAAGGTGTACAATGCGTTGATTTGATATGCTTATATATTATTACAAAATGATTAATTACCACCCGAGCATTAGCTAACACCTCCATCACTTCACATAACTACCTTTTCTTTTTTGTGGTGAGAACATTTAAAATCTACTCTTTTAGCAAGTTCAAGTATATAATACAGTATTATTAGCTATAATCCCCATGTTGTCCTTTAGATCCCTAGAACTTGTTAATCTTGTAACTGAAAGTCTGTACCCTTTGACTAATATCTCCCAATTTCCTCCATCCTCCAGCCCCTGGCAACCACCATTCTACTCTGTTTCTCTGGGTTTGTCTTTCTTTGATTCCATACACATAGGTGATATCATATAGTATTTGTCTTTCTCTGTCTGACTTGCTTCATTTGGCATAATGTCCTCTGGTTCATCCAAGTTGTCACAAATGGCAGGGTTTCCTTCTTTGTCAGGGCTGAATAATATTGCTCTCTCTATATTTTGGAATATTAGTCAGCCATGAGAAAGAAGGAAACCTTGCCATTCGTGACAGCTTGGATGAACCAGAGGGCATTATATAAATAGTGTATATAGAGAGAGAATTTTCTTTATCCACTCATCTACTGAGGATTAATGGTTGTTTCCATACCTTGGCTGTTGTGAATATTGCTGCAATGAACATGAGGGTGCAGATATTTCTTTAAGATCCTGTTTTCATTTCCTTTGGATGTATACCCAAAAGTGGGATTGTTGGATCATATGGTAGTTCTATCTTTAACTTTTTGAGGAACCTTCATATTGTGTTCCATAGTGGCTGCACCTGATTACATTCCCATCACAGTGCACAAGGATTCCCCTTTCTCTACATCTTCCTCAATACTTACCAACTCTTATCCTTTTGATGGTAGCCGTTCTAATAGGAGTGAGGTGGTATCTCATTGTGGTTTTGATTTGCATTTCCTTGATGATGAATGATGTAGAGTATCTTTTCATGTGTCTGTTGGCTATCTGGGTGTCTTCTTTAGAAAAATGTCTGTTCAGGTCCTCTGCCCAGTTTTTAATTGGATTGTTTATTTTTTAGTGTTAAGTTGTAGGAGTTCTTTATATATTTTGGATATTTAACCCCTACCAGATATATCATCTGCAAAATCTGCTCCCATTCAATAGGTGGCCTTTTTGTTTTGTTGATAGTTCCCTTGTTGTGCAAAAGCTTTTTGGTTTGATGTAGCCCCTAATTTAAATTACAATGTATACATGCTTTCAAGTCTAATTTTTGGAAAATTATAAACCTTTTCTCTTTAGACAAATATACCAAACAATTCAACAAATTAAATTGATAATGATGAAGGGAGACTAACTATAATTTATAGTTATAAATCAAGAATAGTAGCAACTGGAAACTCTAACCAACTGAAGACAACACTTACCATGCACCAACAGCAGAGAGTGCTTTCAGAAAATTGTGGAAATTACAAATCTTCACCTATATACTTTTGTTGCCAAACACTGTGTGACTGCCAGACTTGTTAGGAGAACATTGAATGAGTGGCCTCAGGAAATTCCAGTCACGTGTTAATTTTGGTTTATGAATTCCATATTTTGGTTTCTATACATTACTCATTTTGTAGATTACTACTGAGGAGCCCTAATCCGTGGTTGAGTGACAGTGTGAGGGATAACCTACAAGTGTGGAGGATAGGATTTTCATGTTTGGGTCCCTTTAAGACTCATCAGATGGTCCATAAGGGGACTCATTGGAAAAAAAAAATATTGCTCTGGGGAAAGACATGGGATGAGGTGGGAGAGATGCCATATCAGAAGATCCAGGGGGCATGTGTAGTTTGGAAACAAAGGTGTGTTTTGTCTCATTGCTTTGATTTGCTTTTCGTCATGATATTTGTTCTTGCTTTAAAATAATATAGTAAAGTAAGGCATGAGATTATGTTTATCCAAACGGGAAATGTATTAAAAAGCTGTCAAAGCACTGAGCATGTAAAAATCGGTGTAAGTGGAGTGATGAATTCTTCCCCAAATGTATTTATTAATAGAATCTGTTTGAATGGCAGTAGATGCCCTTACTCAAGTCTCTTGCCTCAGGTCCATTGCCAGAGACTACCAGGCCCCATCCTTCCCCCGCCCTCCAGTGACCCCTCTGAGTGTCTCTCCTACCTCTGCTTGTTACCCTCTCCCCTCCAGCCATACTGGCATTATTATTGCTTTTCAGTCACCAAGACATGCTCCTGCCACAGGGCCTTTGCAATGGCTGCTCTCTGGAATGCTCTTCCCTCAGATACCTTCATTGCTCTCTCCCTGACTTAACCATTAGTCCTTTTTCCAAAATCATTTTCACAATGAGGTCTCTCATGACCATCCTATTTAATCTGCAAACTACCCTCCCTGCACTCCTTTCCTCTAACTCCTGAAATGCCCTTATCTTGTTCTATTCTTTTTGTTTTTTCTTTCTTCTAACACACTATGTAACTTGTGTAATTACTGGTTTGTGACATTTATTGAGACACGAGTCTCTTGAGTGAGATTTTGAAACCCAGATCTCTAATAATTTTTGGAAGGTCTATTTCCTCTTTGTTTTGTAATGCAAAGAAGACAATTTTGAACATTGCAGACATTTCTGATTTGGCACAAGTAACATGCCCTCATATTGAATTTGAACTGCTTAAAAAACATCGGTTAAATAACACTTTTCAAGACTTCCTCCATTAACATTGTTTATCATCAGTTCTAATCCAGTTGGCTTTTGGGCTTGCACACTTGCTTACTCTTATCACTTATCCTGGGCTGTAGAGGGTGTTGTGTGTGCCACCCACATGCCCCCTTCAGGGTCGAGACACCCATTCCACCAGCTTCTGGGAGTGTGAGCTGCTAATGGTTCTCTGGGACTTGCCTTCAGTGTAAAGGAGGTAGCTCACTCAAAGTTAGACCTCTCTCTGGGCACCCCACATCCACTGACTGCTTGAGGTGGGGTACAAAGGCCTAGCCTCCCTGACTCATTTAAAGACAGCTCTGAAGGGCCAGAGCTGAGGCTTTCATTCCAGCTGCATCATAGTGTTTAATCCAACTTTCCTTACCTGACTTGCCCTTTCAGTTGTTCCTAAAACATTCTCCACTAAACTTCCTGCACAAAAACGTTCATCTTAGAGTCTGTTTACCAACCAACTCAACCCAAGACAACTAGAACTAGAAATGGGACTTTAGAGCTGGATTACCCACCAGGTGGCTGGCAGTGAGGAGCCCATCACTGGAAGATAAAGGGTTTGGAGAGCTCCTGGAAGGCTGTAGCAAGATAATTGTTGAAACTTTCACTTGTGGTGAGCTAGGATGGGATACTGAAATGCTGATAGAAGGGAATGCACCGGTGGGAGCAACGTCTCATGCAGCGGAGTGGTCCTGGCGAAGTAGAGACTCTAAGGACAATGGACTTGGATAACTTTCATTGGGTGCTATCAATTAAAGAGAGGCAATCAAAGGCTGAAGGTAACTAACCACTAATTTAAGGTGATGTGGGCTTTCTTACAGCATATAAAGACACTCTTATCTCCTGCAGCTGGAGGGTAGAAAAAGCTGTGGTTCAGGTCCACGCATTAATTATAGGGGTTTTTGAATTTCATATAAAGTTGAACTTGGAATCTGGCAGCTCTGGCACATCAGGGTCAAGGTCCAGGTCAGAGACAGGTGGGACCCTCAAATTTGGAATGAAGACATCTGAGTTGATGCACTTGAGATTCTTCAATCCCTAGATGTCTTCGAACCTACTGGGTCGACAGAAGTAGCCCACTCTATAGACTATTAAAGACTATCATCCCACCCCCAGTTTTACTTAAAAATAATGAAAAGGCCTCTGCCTTACAATACAACACGTATCCCCCTCAGGATCTGTTCCTACCTCCACCCCCCAACCCCCGGGTCAAATAATCAGTTCAAGTTGCATCCTAACCTGGCTGCACAACTATTAGTTCTGTTTAGGGAGGAAAGGTACTGATGGAAGGAGCTGCAGGTATCAGTCAACATTCACTGGCGGGAGAGAAGGGAGTTTATCTGGGACTAGATCCTGATGGCAATGGATCAAGGGTGGCATTTGGAAATGGAAAATTTGTTGGTTGGTAACATTCTGATTTTCTGAGAATTTATTGATATGGTAGGATACAAGACTTAATATACTATCGTGCTGCTCTCAGAAGCTTGAAGAAAGTGATGGCCCACACACAGTGAAGTAGAAATGCCAGAATTGCCACTGCAGACAGTAAACTTCTCCTCTCTAAGACCAAAAGGCTTAGAATAGCGGGCATGAAGAAGCTGGAACACCATGCAAGGGCAGAAAGCCCACCAGCCTACTGGAGTCCACAGGAAGGCTCAGAGGACACTATGCTTCCTGAACAGGTAAGGAACAAATTGGTGAGGGCCGCCAGCCAAGCTGATGGGTCAGTCTGTTAAAAAACTGGGATCCTTGATAGCAATGGGGATGATAAAATCCTGAATAATAGACTCCAGGTGGTGCAATGTTCTCTAAGAGCAACAGAGTAGAATAGCTGCCTTGGGGGTGTGGTATATAGAGAGCCATGGAAATGAGTAATGGAACGTGGTGTCTGGCAACAAGAGAGATGGGTTACCAGCAAGAGTATGGTTCAGTTGAAGCAAGTAAGAGAAATCAAGGATAGCTTATCAGGAGACCGAAGGCACCTGCCTCAATAAAAAATCGTAATTCCCAGGGCGCCTGAGTAGCCCAGTCGGTTAAGTGTCTGCCTTCGGCTCAGGTCATGATCCCGGGGTCCTGGGACTGAGTCCTGCATCGGAGTCCTTGCTCAGCGGGGAGCCTGCTCCTCCCTCTCCCTCTGCCCCCTTCTCATGCTCTGTCTCTATCTCAAATAAGTAAATAAAGTCTTTTTAAAAAAAGTCATAATTCCTTGTTCCATTTTCTCATCGGAACCAGTTTTCAGGACCAGAACCCACTGACTGAATTAAAGACAGATCCTGGGGAGGAAATGTATATGGTAATGAGTTTCCCAGTCTTTCCCCAAAGGAACCTCTGGCATTTACTTGGGTAAATTGTACATTGGGGAAGGGGGAATAACCAGACATTTCAAGGACTGGTAGACACAGGCTCCCAGTAATTGTAATACAGTAATCTAGCAACAGAAGTATCATCATGGCCACCCTGTTAGAGCAGGGATATAGAGCAGGGTTATATGGAGGCCCTCACATGCCCATCAAGTTCACCAGTTTTCCTCCTATAAAACCAGATGGATCCTAGGAGTGGATTCCTACCAGTTCAGCTAAGGAGAAGGTCTAATTGCAGCTGCCTTGCTGGTATCATTACTGGAGTGGATTAATCTCTGGCTCATGGTATAAGGCCATTCATCTGGCAAGTATGTTGTCTTCTATTCTTATTAGGAAAGAGTGCTAGAAGCAGTCTGCATTCATGTGGGGCAAACAACAGTATGCATTTACAGTCTTTCTCTAGCTTTTATGTTAACTCAAGCCCTCTGTCATATTAAAGTCTGAAGGGCCCCAGACCATCTGGAAATTCTGTAAAACATTATATTGGTCTACTATACTGATGACATTATGTTAACTGAACTGATGAGCAAGAAGTGGCAAGTATGTTGGAGGCCTTGGTGAGACATGCATGCCAGTTGGTGAAAGATAAACCCAGTCAGAAGACTACCTTCTCAATGTTGCTTTAGGGGCCCCATGGTCTGAGGCAAGTTGGGCTCTCTTTCCAAAATAAAGAAAAAGATGATTTCTTCTCATTCCTTCCCCTAGTAAGAATGCACTACGATACTGGGTTGGCCTTTTGGGTTTATGGAGACAGCATATTCTATTCTTAGACATAATGCTCAGGCCCATTTGCTGAAGGACATGGAAAGCTACAAGCTTTGAGTGGGGTCCAGAGCAGAGAGGGCTCTATGGCAGGTCCAAGCTGGGCACAGACTTCACAGACCTTGCCCAATTTTAATAGTAAATGAATAAAGGCAGCTTCCATTGCCTGAGAAGCCTTGGTGATCAGGGACTCAGACAGGTTCTGGTTAATTCCATGAGGTAAGTCACTCGAACAACGAAGGTTCTAGTCTACAGTAAGGGAAATGTAGCATGGTTGGTAGAGGAAAGAAATGATGAGTATAGGTTAGGGCCTGAGATCAGCTGCAGGAGCTGGGGCTACAGTTTGTCCTATTACATTCAGACTCCTGAAGAAGCTATTCCTGGAGGGGTAAACCTACTATACAAATCAAATGGATCCAAGTAGTGCAAGGGTTGGACTATAGTGGATGCCATAGTGTGTGCCCTAGAATCTCTTTCAGAACTGAAGAAGGGGTCATCTACTTAGCTGCTGGGTGTGTTGGCCACTGATGGCTAACAGCTGAGCCCCTCCTTGGCAGAAGCTCACATTTAATGACTGGTCAAAGCGCTGGGTCAAAAGCTAGGCAACCTGGCCTTAATGTGATACATCTATGAAAAGCTATCCCAGCTTCAGAGCCCTCCACAGCATCAGATGGGGTCCCTTGCAACTGCATCACCGTTCAACTGTTCCTCTGCCCAAGTCTGTGTCCTCGTTCCCTCACAGGTGCTGTCTCCAAAATCACTCCCTGATACACTTCCTATACACACATATCTATCTCAGATTCTGTTTTCTGGGCAATATGACTCACAACACCAGGAGATTCATGTAATATGTCATTATATTAGATGTTAGATTTGAGGCATTTGGAGATCTGGTGGTAAATGGAATCCTGGTCCAAGTCCATGTCCCATTTGGTCTAGAGTCCACTGCCCCAACCGTGGTCATTCTCTGGTTCCCTAAATGGTTATATGAGCAAACAAAACCTTCCGATTGACTCCCTTACCTGTGGTTCTCTGACCCATAGGAAAGGCCAAGTGCAGTCCTCTGGGATTGCCACCCCTTCCCAATTCACCCATCTCCAGCTCAGATAATCACTCAAAAGCAAAATCTCATCCTGGCCACCTGGCAGAAACTAGTGCCAACCTCAGAGAAGTGTAGGGCTGCTTGGCCAGACCATCTCTTTATTTAATCCATCTCTCGTTGACAATGGACTGCAGTAAATTTAATCAAGGGATAGCTCCAATTATAGCTATTGTGTATATATTGCATCTTTACTTGAAAAAAACCAGTGCAGCCTCTGGCACTCTGTATGCAGCTACTGATAGGGAAAATGCATGTATTTCAGTTCACACCAAGAAGGAGAGGGGTGCCTGAGGGGCTCAGTTGGTTAAAGACGCTGACTCTTGGTTTCAGCTCAGGTCATGATCTTAGGGTCCTGGGATCAAGCCCTGCGTCAGGCTCTGCGCTCAGCGGGGAGTTTACATGAGGATTCTCTCTCTCTCTCCCTCTGCCCCTACTCCCACTTGTGCATGCTCTCTCTTTCTCTCGCTCTAAAATAAATAAATAAATCTTAAAAAAAAGAGGAGATGCTGAAGCAGTTTGCATTTACTTGGAATTCCTGGTCATGCCTCAGACCTGTGTTCTCTCATATTCTTTGTTACAATATAATCCAAAGGTGCCTTGCTTACCTAAACATTCTTCAGAACATCAGGTCTGTCCACTATTTTGTCAATATCATGTTGATTTAGATCTGGAAAAGCAGATGGCAAATACTTTAGATGCTCTGTTAGGACACATGTGCATCAGAAGATGGGAAATAAACCTCAAAAAATCCAAGATCCTGGAATGCTGGTAAAATTTGTGAATTCCAGTCATCTGGAGATATATAAGATGCTTCATAGTGTTGCTATGGTAGACCAGAATGTTCTACAGTGTTTCTGGCAAGCTCTGATAGGAGAATTGAAGAACAGAATCCTTGGGTCCTAAAGCGAGGCCATGCCATCTGCAGCAGAGAACTATTCCTTATTGGAGAAGCAGCCCTTGATATGCTACTGAGCCTTGGTAGAGACTGAGCATTTGACATGGGAAAGCAAATGACCGGAGATTCCCATGATGTCCTGGGTATTTTCACACTCACCAAACCAGGCAGGTGCAGCAGCCATCCATCATACCTGGGAATGTTACATTTGGGACCTGAGTACATCTGGAAAACACAAATAAGTTATATAAGGATGGATGGTCCGTATTCTTGTGCACTTAAAGTCTCTCTTGCCTTTCCTATGGCCTCCTTGATGCTTTCCTGTGACCAGCTGATCAACAGAGCAAAATCTTGGGTCTTGTTCATAAATGGGTTAGCTCCGAAATCTTGCCATTTGTAATGACGTGGATGGAACTAGAGGGTATTATGCTAAACAAAATAAGTCAATCAGAGAAAGACAAGTATCATATGATCTCACCAATATGAGGAATTCTTAATCTCAGGAAACAAACTGAGGGTTGTTGGAGTGGTGGGGGTTGGGAGGGATGGGTGATAGACACTGGGGAGGGTATGTGCTATGGTGAGCGCTGTGAATTGTGTAAGACTGATGAATCACAGACCTGTACCTCTAAAACAATACATTATATGTTAAAAAAAAAAAGAAGATAGTAGGAAGGGAAAAATGAAGGGGGGAAATCGGAGGGGGAGATGAACCATGAGAGACTATGGACTCTGAGAAACAAACTAAGGGTTTTAGCGGGGAGGGGGGTGGAGCGATGGGTTAGCCCGGTGATGGATATTAAGGAGGGCACATATTGAATGGAGCACTGGGTGTTATACGCAAACAACGAATCATAGAACACTACATCAAAAACAAATGATGTAATGTATGATGACTAACATAACATAATAAAATAAAATAAAAAAAATAAAATAAAACTGGTTCTTTGCAAAAAAATAAATAAAAATAAATGGGTTAGCTCTATAAGTTGTACATTTGATATGCTGCTGCATTACATTTCCCCTCAGAGATGCCTCTGAAAGACAGTGGTAAGGGAATGGGGGGATCTTCCCTATGAGCAGAGCTTAGAACAGCATACCTGACATTCAACTCTGCGTGGGGGCTGAAGTAGTTTGAGGCAAGGACATACTCAGATTAATGAGTAGTGGTGAATGATTTAGCTATTTGGTCAGGGGCTTAGGATGGGGAGAGATTGGAATCTCAGGGAGACAAGGAGATCAAGAGAAGAATTGTGGGTACATCCAGGGGGCCATGAGGATCTTTGTGTTCACCTCAATGACCAATTCATTGGAAGGTGGAAGAGGCACCTTCCACACTGGAAGCCCAGAACAATCAAGTGTATAGGATGATTATCCAGTGGAAATAAGCCAGCCCCCCTCCTTGGTCACCTCTGTTCTCGCATTATGGAGCTATGACTATAGTAGTCATGGAGTTGGAGACTGAGGCTGTGCATAGGCCCAAGGACATGGACATCATCATAAGGTTGATCCACCTACTGTCACTGCTGAATGTCAGAGCTGTCAGCAGCTGAGACTGATATCACCTACAAGGAGATCAACCAGCCAACTGCGGGTTGATTGCATTAGAACCCTTCCATCCTGGAAAGAATACTGAGTCATCCCTACTGGAATGATTATGTATTCCAGGTATGTGTTTTCCTTTCCTTTTATTTTTAATTAATTAATTTATTTATTTGATGGAGAGAGACACAGCGAGAGAGGGAACACAAGCAGGGAGAGTGGGAGAGGGAGAAGCAGGCTTCCCGCTGAGCAGGGAGCCCAATGTGGGGCCCGATCCCAGGATCCTGGGATCATGACCCGAGCTGAAGGCAGACGCTTAATGACTGAGCCACCCGGGTGCCCCTCCTTTCCTGTCTTTAGTGCTTCTGCCAGCACCACTCTCTGAAGGTTATCAGTTTTTCTGGTTTATTGTTGTGGGATCTTTGTTACATCACTT